TTTAGCACTTTTGGTGCTTGCTTTGCTAAAGTTAAATTAACAGAATCTAAGCTAAAATCTGCAGAAGCACACCACTCATCAAATGGTATACTGTCATCCTCATCCCTATCTATCTTCTGAGAAATTTGATCTGATATCAAAGGCTTATTATCTTGAACTACATTTGTGCAATTTACCTCAAGTTTATTCTTGACCTTATGCATAGTTACAGGAAAAATGTGATCCTTTCCATTGTGATGAATCTTCATTTTATCATTATTCCAATCAATAACATATTCATATTTCTTGAGAAGTCGGTTTAAAAATATTAACATTGGCTTGGAATGTTTTACGACTACAAAATTCTCATATATAGTACAATCGGGAGTTAGTGTTATTAGTAAATTACCACTAAGGTCATACTTCACAGATCTATCAATTTTTCCATTTATACGCTTAAAAATATCTTCTGTTATGATCTCAGTTTCAGTCCCACTATCGAGTATCATTGCTGGGATTTTTAAACACTTAATTTTGCATGGTATAGTCGCAATACCTATATTGGGTTCTTTCTGACAAACAAAATCAATTTCCATAGGGTCATCCAAAGTCTCATCTTCATCTGAATTGGATATCTCTGAAGCTGGTTCTCAATAATTATTATCTTGAATATGATATGATTTTTCATTATTAAAATTGAGCTTCTGCAATAATGAAGGTAAAATATCTTTAAGTTCACTTTGGATAATTTTACAAATAGTTTGTTCTAAAACTGTTTGCTTACTCCCACCTCTCTTGCAAGACTTAGGTTCCTTATCGATCTTGTGAGATTTGGATACCTTCTTAGATAATAATTTGCTCGAACTACTCTTCTGGTTTACTTTTTTTTTGCCCTAGTAATGTTAACATTTATACTCTCAGTTTCAAAGGAGGTGTCATCAGAATTAGACGCAGAATCAGAATTATTATCAGAAGAGTTAGAATCTGAATCAGAACCAGAATTATTGATAGTCAAATTAACCTTACTTTTTTTATTCTTGCTAGATCTCTTGGAATTCTTAGATTTCTTTCTAGGACACTTGCGAGAATTGTGTCCAGTTTTATTACAATTTGAACAACAATGTTTGGATGATTTAATAACAGCATGAACTCCTGCCTCAAAACCTTTCGACAAAACCTTATTTATTGATAACTTACCCATATGATCAGCCAGTTCTTTGTCAGAGTCGACTTCAATATTTTTCTTTGATTGCATTGGCTTTGCTGAAAACATATCTGACACTTTTTTATAAAGATTATTAGCTAAAGATTCTATAATTTGGCTGGCTGAAGGAGTTGGGTTTATAAGATCACAATGAATAAATTTTTCAGAATTTACGCCATACCCAACTGGTGGTCTTTCTGGCATATATTTATCTGGTACTCTAAGGTAGTTACTGAAATCGGGTTGCTTTTGCTGAGACTGTAAAGCTTGTGTTTTCTGAAGCTGTGAAGACTGAATAGAAATAGTTGGTACTAAAGCTAATTGTGATTTTATCATACTATCTAGTTCAGCTCGAGATATACCACTACTATCGGAATGTAATTTATTTTGTATATTAACAGCTGAAGTTTGAAAGATTTGGTCAGGAATAGAGCCTTTATACAAATTTGGAGGATGTTCTAACCACATATTTTTAAGTTCTGTAAAAAATGCATCAATGCCACCAGGGTTAGTGATTTTCATCCAAGTATAAAGCTCTCCTGATAAATGACCCTTAAGAAGTCCTAAGATATTGGCATCACCATCAGCAACCCCTAATAAAAGAGGACAGATTCTAGCCTCATATGATTCTGGATTATCAAATGGTAAGAATTTTTCTTGTGCTAATCTTTGAGTAGCAACTTGTTGTGTTCCAACTGTCTCTGTCTGATATTTATGATGCAACCAAACAATAAAACGAGCTGGAGTATCAATATTTGTACCTATGGGGTATTATGTAAATATATTTGTATATTTTCCAGCTATCTTACTTTTTAAAATATCTGCTCGAAGTGCATTATTAAAGGTGCCTGCCATAATTGATGATAAAGTTAATATTTGATTAATTCTTTGATACCATTCATCTGGTGGAATCTGTCCACTATAATTTGGAATCTGTGCAATTAATGATGCAATGCTGGTTAAGTCTTCTGCAACTGTTGCTATATTTGATGGGTTATATTGTAGTGCTAAAATTTGTTGATTTAAATTATTAATTAATTGTTCAGAATTTCATGCCCGAGTTTTCCACTTACCCCATTTGTTGTCCAGTTGAACATCGGCAAGTAATAGATCATTTTCTAGAGTCTTGCATTTATTTTTCTACTTATTGTATCGATTTGTTGTAAGATTTAAGAGATGTGCAGTAATTGCTCCATTCGTCTTACAATCTTGTAGTTGCTGGCTATTTTGCTGGGCTTAAACCTGAAATTGTCTATTTAAAAGGCGTGATACAAATTTTTTTTGGAATAGCTCTGATATACGCTTATTTTTTTCTATACAAGTTGCTTTTAATAAGGATAATTAAGTTTGTGAGCTCTATAAGCTTGATAAAAAAGATCATAATCATTTTGAAGCATGGCTAACTGGGTTTGCGAATCAGCTATCTGGGTTTGCAAATTTGTTAGCTGGGTTTGCAAATCTGCTACTCGATTTTCTGCATTGATTGCACGTGCATTAGCTTGTAAATATATTTCTAGCACTATTCTTTCAAGCCTATTTCTGGCATCAGAAATTATATTAAGATAATCTATGATGCTATTTATTGTAGGTGTTATTGTAGTTGGGCTTTGAAAATATCGTCTAATATTATCAACCTCTTGCTAAATTCTATGATTCTGAATCGTAGCTTGGTTTTCAGGCAAAAATAATCAGGGTGATCCTGGTTGTGCCATATCTATATTATCATTGCCATTTTTATATAAAATAAGTATTTTTATTTTTTCATTAAGCTTGTCTATTTCATCTTAAAAAATTACTAACAGCTTTTCTAAATAGTCTATATAATCCTCTTGGCTTTCAGAATCTCGAAATATTTTTTCTAACCATTCTTTAATATCAGAAATTTCTTGTCGTAATAGATCCAGTTCTCCATCTCAAATCAAAATTTCATTTTTGAGATATTTGATGTAACTCTCTTTTAAGTCTAGATCCTATTGTAATTTACAGAATCGATTTTTTATTATCTGCAAACTAGCTTCAAATTTTTTGATTGTTTCACTAGGTAGAGACACTATTGTATCTGATGGCATTGTACAAGCCTATAATATATCGATGCTTCTGAAAACTTTACCAAATAATAATTAATTAATATAGTAAAATGTATCGAAAATGAACCAACCTAGCATCATAATTAGTACTGATGAAGAATTGGCCCTAGTTTGCTGATTATTATTCTATCAACCAACAGGGTATCATTCCAACCCCTGAAAATTATGGAAAGATCTTAAAGCAGAGGGGTATCAGTTTTCATATAAAAAGGTATGTGAGTGGCTTACAAATTAGAATGAATGGCAAAAATATGCTCCATCACTAAAAGATACTCCATGGGTTAGTTATGGAAAAATTTTACATCCAAACTGCATACATATGTGTAATTTGTTACGCCTCACAAATGATACTGTCAATAAAAAGACATACAAATGGGTACTTACTGTTATAGATGTTGCATCCCGTTTTAAATAAGCTGTTCCATTGATATCAAAAAACAGTTCAGAAGTCACCAAAGCATTTAAGAAAATATATGATAATTCGAATGTTCTCCTTACCTGGCCTGATTTATTACAATGCGATGGCGGGTATGAATGGATGGGTGAGACTTCAAAAATAATAGAGGCACATAACATTATAATCTGAGTTATAGGCCTGTATTCTCATCGAGGTCTTGCAATCGTAGACAGATTTTGTAAAACATTAGCAGAGATGCTATACAAAGTTCAATCTGCCGTTGAAACTATATCTGGAAATCCTAAATTAATAAGGGCATGGGTTAAACATTTACCAAATATTCTTGAATATCTGATTAATTATCCAATATGACTTATACAAGCGCCAGGATCAAAGAAATGGGGATTAGCACCTATGAAGGCAATTAGATTGGATAGGGTAGAGTCTAGACCATCTACAAAATACAAACATTCAGTTGGTAAAGACAAAGAAAAATTAAAAAAGGAAGATACTGTTCGTTTCTTACTCGCTAATGCAGAATGGGAAGGAGGTATGGAAAATCAATGGTGTGCAACAGATGAAATTTGGAGCTCTTCTTTATATAAAATCCACAAAATTGTAATAACGAAAAATGAACCAATTTTATATTATTTAGATGGAGAATTCACACCAACACGTGGGTTTGTATGTGAAGAATTAATGCTAATTGATCTTGAAAAACTTCAGTATCCACCTCAGAGTATATTGGAGAAAAACACTCATTTCAGGTTTGTTAATTTTGTTTGTATTATTAATAAAATGGCTAAAGCTGTTGCATATGCTGTGAAGCGTGACAGAAAATGTCTTGCTAAAATTGGCTGAATAAATGATTTCGATGTATATCTCTGGTCCTGTGAAAATGGAAAGCATCAGTAGGAATATCCATATCTATTAATAGCTACGAAATTTGAATGGTGTCCACTTTGCTTCCATCATACTGATAAGCATCGCTGTAGATATATTTTCGAAGATCTGTTAGGTAAGAAATTTCCATCTTGTAAATCATCATTTTTGAATGAGATGCAATTAGATGGGTATAATAAAGAGCTAAAATTGGCATACGAATTCCAGGGAGTTCAACACTACCATTGCAATAGTTTATATCACAAAAATCAAGATGATCTAGATAATCAAAAAAAACATGACCAAAAAAAGCAAGAAATATGCAAAGAGCAAGATATAAATCTTATTGAAATACTGTATGGTGCTGATTTATTCTCATACATAAAATGCAAATTGCAAGAGAAAGGTTATCTACAAAATATAGATATAAATAGCATATCAAAATCAGATTATTCGTCAGAATAAAAAAACATAATATATATTTATAACAAAAAGATATTATATTGTGTATTTGCTGTAGATGAGATAAAACCTTCGAAAATTACCAGAGAGATAAAGATGCACCAGCATAGCCTTTTCGTATCGTGATGGCAGAGGCTAGCAATTCAGGTAAGACCAATATGAATTTAAACTTGCTAACAATGCTCAAATTTTATTACATGTTTAAGAAGAAAAAGCATTCTAAAATAGGGGAATGCAATGTTAAATGTGATGATGTATTTCTTTTCGGACATCATTTAAATGAGCCAAAATATAAAATAGTTTGAGATTTTTATAAATATCTTACCTAAGACAAATCAAAGCCCTATTATGAAGATGTCACATTTTCTACACTATCTCCTGATAAAATCCCAGATCCCAAAAAGTTTAATGCTAAAAGAAGTACATTAGCGATATTTGAAGATCTTTACTCTGACCCTCCAGCTATACAGAAAAAAATTATTACATTTTTCACTCAAGGTCGTCATAAGAATATTTCCTCAATTTATGTTGCTCAGAAATTCCACAAAATCCCAATAGATATTCGCAAAAATGCCACTCACATTGTTCTCTTTAATGGTAGAGGCTCTATTCGAAAACTTGCAGATATTATAAGTCCTTATATTGATGTAGATCCGTGAAAAGCTTCAAAAATTATTGACAGTTATTTGAGACAAAAAGAGTTTATAGTTATAGATCTGAATAAACCCAGATCTAAGTCTTTCTTACTTTGATGGAACACTCCTCTTGATCTAAAAAAGGAGATCGAGGGATTAAAAGATAAAAAACATTCTGCCTAACCAGAGCGATATTTCAGAAGATATAATAATACTTTAAAATCGGAAAAAATAAGGCATAACAATCGAATAATTATTTTTTCGGTTATTTATTAATACAACAATATAAGTACATCCTACTCACCACTTTTTATATAATTAAGAAGATGCACATATCCAGCCTACCTAGTATTTAAATTGAGGTGGATGTTTTCAGTATCTTATTCACTACTATTCTCCAATGAAATAGCTATCAGTATCCAGTCTAATTGAGGTTGAAGTAGATGTTGAAAAATAAATAAATTCTGTAGTTTATTTGTACTAAGGAGATTTTTGTGCTAGGTAAAATAGGTTGATATGAAAAATCAAAATAAAAAATATTACCAGCCCTCAGGGATAACAAAATAAAGTCTAAAGTACTAGCCCTCAAGGAATACTTTAGGTGGTTTTATTTTAAATAGATATATATATGAATAAGTTATATAATTAATAAATCAAATAAATA